TGGCGGAGCATTATATAAACCCGCTATAAAATTTTCATCGGCATAGTCAACATCTACCGTCCAAGATGAAGGCAACGCTCATCGCCATTTGCTTCCTCGCTGCAGTAACGTTCTCAATGGGAGACACGCATGGTGAGCCTTGGTCCCTTAAACGTTATACTTTGTTTCTTGTGATCTTAAAAAATATATATATTTGCTCGCGATGAACCGCCTTCAATTCGCGGAATAACATTGCACTTCAGAGTTTCTTTTTTTCTATATGTGTATTTCATTAGAGAGCGAAGACAAAAAAAATTGTCTAATTATGTCAAATCAGCTATGAGTAGTCTTAGTCTGCTGCACTTTGTTTTTCCACAATCTCCTTAAGGACAACAAACGTATATTTTTTCCCGAAATATGAAATCTATACCGCTAAACAAAATCTCTAGTGTAATACTAGTCTCCATATGGGCTCTTGGCGCACGTGCCTTTGGAAAGCCAAAAATTCGCGACTACATGTTGCTGCTGATGTTAATCTCTCTTCGTGATAAGGGGTCTTGGTCACTACAGTGATGCAGACAGCCGGAGTCTCTCCACTAACATGTCAAGCGATTATATGAAAGCAAGACACCCGTAAAATATCTAGAATCGAAGATGCTGCGTCAGTCATCGAACGTCTAATTCTTCACACAAAAGTGCACACCAGACAGAAGTATTTTGATTCGACATGTTAAATTTACAGGCTGTGGGCGCCCTGGATTCAAGCACAGCATGGCTTGTTTAATCGCCAGATCCTTCAAAATGTGAAAGTACGCTTGGGTCATAGCTTCGTAGCTCCCGTGTCTTTCATTGCGATAAAGTAGTTCCCCTGAAACGACATATGTTAGAGTATACAAAAGCTCTACAAATGTGTACGTTTTCTTCTAACGCCGATCACATTCATGGTTGACATATCAATCAAATGTTAGAAGATATAAGGTTTAAGTTAACCGCTCTTCATAATTCCAATCATATCAGCAGTGCAATATTACGATATTAGTATTTTGATTCCTACGCGTCCAAATAAACACCTTGCACTAATAATATTTATTTTGATATTTTATTTTTTTATATTTATTTATTGCGTGCCCAAAAACACCATAATGGTTTTGACATTGGTGCACAGAAGTCAGATTCCTATGAAACATGCAAACATATGGAAACCACAATAGTCATATTAGAACAGTCAGCATAATAAAACAGTCGTAACAAAGTACATGAAATACACATCAGGTGTTAAAGGTAAAATACGGCATGAAAAAAAAATCGTGCTGGACAAGGAGGTTGCATGATGTCTGAATACGATAGATTGGTGACTCCTTTAATCGCATGTCGGGGTAGAACATGTCGCACTGTCGCGTGAATTTCGTTGGCACACGTAACTTTATGCTGCCCAAAAGGTCAGGTACGTCAATTACACCCTGGATAAGCTTTTGTAGAAAAGCCGCATCTCGGCAATGCCTTCGGTCATCCAAAGTGCTGAGATTCAAAATCTTAAGCAGAGAATGGTGGTCGAAGTAAGGTTTCCTGTGGAAGTATCGATCATAGACTATGCGAACCAAACGCCTTTGCACCGCTTCAATACGTCTACATTCAGTCTCCGTTAAATGATTCCACACGACAGAAGCGAATTCGAGCCTGGGCCTGACGAGAGCACAAAATAAACGTAATATTTAATTTATGTAATCCCGGGTCGCGCATTAGGAATTCGAACCACCTTAAAAAAACAGTACTAGCAAAAAGCGAATGTGTAATTCTTGATCATTTGGAAATACAGGTGAATAAAAACAGTCTTGTAGCAAAAATCTTGTTCGAGCGCACGTTGCATGAATGTTAAAATTTCCGTTCATTTCGAGTCATGCCTTAATTCATATATATCGGGAGCAACAATATAAGCCTACTGATTTATATGCCAACATAAGGAGGTAATGCTATCGTCGCTAGCATGACTTCCTTGTGACTAGCGGTTCCTCGTTCCGCGAGCAACCACAAGTCGCCAGCATGTCCTGCTTAACTTGTGGTGCATCCCTAGGCGAGGAAATCATTACAATATTGGTTGTAAAAAAACACACGTATTCACCTAACAAGTATTTAACAATATTCCTTTGATTATCAAACTCTATATTTAATAAATGAAAACAACAAGAAATTAAGTGGTTTTATATTTATTATATATTTTGTGTGTGCGTGTTTGTGTTCCCGCAGGAAGCTCCACGCCCTGCCCGGGTCCACCCGGTAAGTTATGTTCAACAAAAAATGCCTAACGCTACACAAAAACTTGCATGTAACATTAGCCACCGTATCGGATCTTCATGACCAAGCATCAGGCAAGGCACGAATTTTGACGCCAAGTTTAAGCAGGCTGTCTTTGTTAAAATACTACTGATGCTTGCTTTGTTGTGTCCACAAACAGCACGTGGCTTGAGTAGTTATTTGATGACGCCACTATATTATAACTATGCCATCGAAGAGGTTCACCGGATACAAATTTGAATTTAGAACTCACGGGGAGGCAGTCACACGGCAATAAACGCAAAAGTGTAAACTCAGTTGTAAGCAGTGCAAGGGAGTGGCGTCGGGATTGTGTCATCCTAGAGTGCTTTTTTTTTAAATATTTGTTTTAAGCAGTAGGAAAATATTTCCGAGCCAAAGAACGTTACGGTAGAGCGTGTGAAGTTTCGTTGCACCTCTCGAAAACGTATTCATAATATGCTATAGCTAGTCTGGAATCTCATATGTTTCCGTCGAAAGGCAGATCATTAAAAGCCGGAAGTGGCGAAATTAAAACTAATCTATCTTCGATGTCCTTTGAAAACCTATAGCGAAAAATATATTCATGAAGCTCGTCTCTTCCTAGTTTGGCTTTCTCTTTCCTGCTAGCACTTCGAACTCTGGCAGAATTCGCTATAAGTTGAGGTCAGTTGTTCGAGTTAGTCTAAAATCTGGACTCCATCGAGCTAATAAGGCCAAACAAATCACGAAATTAGCCTGGCGGCACGTGGCCTTTTACAGCGGCGCAACAGTCACGCTTCTGACTCCGCACGCAAACCGAACTCCTTCGGGTGTTCGGTACGCCGGGCGTTAGGTCTTTTTTCGCACCATATTCACTCCGTGGCCACAAGCCAGCCGTGTTAACCTCGACAATTTACAATCTTAAGGCTTTTGGTTTGTCGATATATTTTTTTCATTGCCGATTTCTACCATTTGTTGCTTTCGGGCATTGTGTTTTTTTCTTCCTTCTGAGTTTCGCATCTCGATCTCTCAAACAAACAAAATGAAATGTTTACGTTTGTGGCTAAAGCCACAAACGTAAACATTTCATGTTTACATTTCATGTTTACATGAAACATGAAACGTAAACGTAAACGTAAACATGAAACATGAAACGTAAACATGAAATGTTAACATGAAACGTAAACATTTCATGTTTACATTTCATGTTTACGTTTGTGGCTAAAGCCACAAACGTAAACACAAAAGTGGCAACAGCTAAAGTCAGTTGGCGTTTAAGGTGAGAGCACACTGTTTATGCTGTATATGAGACATTTGTTCGGTGCACTGCCACTGGTAGTCTGGGATCTTTAACGTGCCTTACGCAGTAGTGATGCACGACGCCACACCGGTAAGTTGCTCATCCAAATTGCGGCGGGGAAGGCTGAGGCAATTGCACCCAGCACCACTGGGTTCTTCAAGGGGAGCTTTCGGTTTACATGCTCTAAGCTGCGGTGCGTTACCACAGTCGGTCACAGATCGACCCATTTATAGCTCAGAGACGTGTTTGCTTGAGGGTTCTTTCAAGCAATTCTGAATATATAGCTTGCAGATTTGCTTAAAGTAATCCTCAAAAACACACAGACCCGCTCCAATATGCCACTTTATGTGTTGAAGGTAATTAGTATTTCTTGTGTAATAATTTATTCATTGACGTGTTACACTTTCTGTCTGACGTCTACCATTATTCCGAATAAAGCTCATGATTATTTTGTGTGCCCGTTCTTAAGTATTCTGAGTCGCTGAAATGCCCCGGATATCTGTATCCTGTGTATTCTAAGGCCACTCAAATACAGAAGTAAATTACAGTCAAAGCTTTGCTGCTGATGTATGTTTTACTGATATAATTACACTTCAAACCCCAGAAATTAACGAAGTACTGAATCATCTAAAATGTTTTAATATGAACACCAATTAGATCAATTATTTCAACCACTTGTATTAAATGTTAAAATATATCGGTTGAAAGTTCGCGACTTTCTGGAATAATATGCTTCCTTGCAGCGCTATTGTACCTGACCTGTAGTTTGCTTCAGTTTGCACATGAAATCACGGGTTTAGATAATGACGTTTCCTTACCAAATTACGGGCATGCTTTCGATCCATGCATCATGAATGATGTCCTTATTTTAAAACTAATTTTATCTATTCTATCAAACGTATGTCGTTAGTGTTAATACCTGCTTAAAATGCTATGTATTTCAGTATTTTCTACAAACTCTTGGCCTTTAATCACACACATGTCATCCGTGTAATAAGGATTCGAACGTTAATGCTTATACCACCAAGTGAAAAAAAAAAGCGGGTGTCTTATTTTTATACCACGGTGCAGATGCAGCTGAACTGAGATTGCCTACAGCTTTAATATGCCGGAAATGTTTATCTAATAATAAAAGTGGCTTCTTTCAAAAGTTGTACGTGACTCCAGTTTCAGTAGATGCGTGTTTTGGTTTCTGGTTATTCCAATTTACATATTTATCAATAGTATCTGTGGAATAATAAAGTAAGCTGACGTTAAAATAGGTCATTGAGACGCGCAACCCCAAATTGGGGAATGATAACAAATTTTATGGCAAAGTTAAACGTGATATATTTATTATTATTTATCAATATTCACCTGATTGTCACATTTTTTTTTACTTTTTAGCTATAAAACACTATCGTTATATTATACTGGTTGGCACTCGTATGTTTGTTTGTGTATTCCCACAGGAGAAGATTGCAGATCGGGAGGTGGTCTGCAAGGTGAGCTACGTTGAACAAAAATGTGTAACACCAGGCAAAATCTTATATGACATTGGCCGTCATGCAGGGGATTTATGACCCAAATATCAGGCAGAGCAGCTAATTTTGACGCCATGTTTAAAAACGTTGATGTTGTCATGTTATTCGGATGTTTTGGTCACTACCGTTGCTCTAGAAGGTGAGATTCAAAACTACATACTGAGAGGGTGAAGGAATACAAAACGCTAACACGACCCTGGAGGTTGAGGCTTTAGTGTAATGAAGCGTATAATATATCGATCAACAATGTAATTCGGGCTGAAATATTTTGTACCTTTAATACGCAAACCCCCTCACTTTTTTTGCGTATGCCCCAGATCCAAGAATATACTAAATGTGTCACCAACGACCAACAATATATTTTTTAAAGAGCGCTTGAAATAAATAAGTGACTCCTCCGGCATAGTGTTTTCGACCACGGCGGATGTCAGGGTACCAGTGTAAAGCGATATTTATACAATGAATTACCTAGGCTTCACTAACTTTTTAATTCATCACTTTTGTTGGTGCATTCCAGTAAAATATGTGTTGACCGTCTTCAAAATATGCCACAAGTATCTACTGATTCGCACTGCTCTTTTTTCAAAATGAAACCGTGAGGAGACAATATACCGAAACTAGACACAACAGGAACGTAAAGCATGTTCCACCCGGAAGCGACGTCAGTCTCTGCAGTGGGCTTATCTAGCGAGTCACTGAGAGTAGATAATCTTCATGTCGTAGTAGAAAAAGAGCAACATACACTGATATTTGCTGAGGCAGTCAGCTTTCAGCGCCCTCTGCCCCTTAGTTTTGGTATGACAAAGTCTAGACAGCCTAATTTCGCCAGAGAATATCGCGAACAAAAATTAAGTACTCTGAATTATACAACTGGTATGGTACATTTTGACAAAGGGGAGCCAGCTTCAAGTTCAAATCTGCCAGTTCATACGCCTTGAAGTAATCCGAAGATTTTAGGTAATTATTTCTGCGTTATCACTTTACCCTCTATACCTGACGTTCACCGTGTTAGAGGACGTTATACTGAAGGAAGTAGTTCATTACTTTAGGCGCCCTTTTTTTAAGTATTGTGAGCTGGGGAAATGCCCTATATATCTGTATCCTCTTGATTACATAGCGACTCGAATGCGAAAGGAGGTTGGAGTGAGAGCATTGTAGCTACTCTGCCTTTCACTCTTACAGTTACCCTTGAAAGGCAACAAGTTAATATAGCACAAAATCTCAAAGATGTTTTCATTTATCTCCGATGAAAATATTTTAGCCCTATCAATAAAGTATTGAAATATACCATGTTAAATTTAACTGCTCCATAAAATGCGCATTTTGTTTTTGCTATTTTTGCTGATCGATTGATTGTTCTTATTAGTAGACTTAATGTGCTTTATTCTTACCTTATATCAAACTTCGGGTTAACCACACTTCGTTCAGTGCTGTACCCGCGAGTGTACATTAAATATTAAATGACGTAATAAAAAAGCAGAAACGCAAAGCGGGCATGAAATTCCTATAGCAAACTGTTTGTATCGGCGTACCACTTCAATATGTGGTTAATTTAATACCAAATGATACAAAACTGGCTTATATAAAGCAACTTTTTGTGACCCGAAACTAAATCCAGTCAAATATTTATCGGTTCCGGTCATTGTAACAAACATAAGCAGAATGTCAGGTGGACAAACAACCCCAAACGTGGCTATTGTCAAGATAATAATTTATAGCCAATATTTAGAATCATATCAGTAATTATCGATTCAATTTCTTAGACATTACTAAAAAACAAATAAAAGGCCAGATTTACATTGATCTCACCTTTTGTGTGTCTGTGTTTGTGTGTCTGTTTATCGATAGGACCCTCCAATCCTTCTGGGCCTAACCAACCCGGAACAAGTAAGTATAGGTTCACCAATAAATGCCCAGCGCTAAACGAAAGGTGACAATGATGCTAGCAGCCTTGTCGGCAGTTTGTGAACGCGTATAGCAAAGCCAACAATTCGTGAGCTGATATTTCAGCAGAATGATTCAGATAGGCTTAACTAGTAATCGGATATTAAATTTCTTGTTGCACACTAGAAATCAAGCTGAAACATTTGTGAGTAGTTATGCCCCTCCCTGCGGATGTCCGAGATTCAAGCAGTGTATAACGTGTTGGCTTCATTGTGCTACAAGAAAGTGGAAGTTCGAGTCGGAGCTTAGTAGCTGCTCTGTCGTTTACCATTGAAACGCCGCAAATTAGTATAGTACTAAATCTATAAAAAGTCAAACCATCGCAAATGATGTATTCTTATAAAGTCGACACCATTTATGCGTTCAAACATACGAATCGAGGGTGAAAACCTTTTATATTAGTTTGCACCACTCTAGAATAGTACGCATTTCTCTATTTCTTTTTCCGTTTATGAAAATCTTCTTTTGAACGCTTCGCGAAGGACAGCTTTCATCAAGCCATATCTTTTTATTGATATGTACTCGTCGGGTACGCATTGAATAAAAATCACCTGCAGGAAACGTACGAACTGAGTCGTTAGCCGACGGTACGCCATGAACCCAAAATAAGATAAAAATCAAAAGAATAATTGCAAATTTAGCTTGACCAAGTCTCGAATATTTATCAATATTACTCAGATTATCACATTCTATCTTTTCGTAGAAAGCTATTAATAAAGAAAACTAAACCAAAAGCTGTTTATACTGAGTTTCACTCGTAATGTGCTATTGCGTTCCCACAGGAGATACCAGCCCGCCCGGCAGGAGTAAGTAAAGGCCACGAACAAATGCCTATCACTTGAAAAATTCTCTAATCTGATGGAATAGTCACGGAGAGAATGAGAGGGGCAGAAAGCAGCCTCCAGCCCGAGCTTCTTACCTTCGATCATGCTTCGGCACATCGTGCGCCTCGAGCATGCAAGCGGATCAAAAGCACGTCGGAAAGCAATAAGCGCGTGCTGGGGGCTGGGCTTTCGTAAGAGCTGCTCTGCCGTTCTCACATTCTCTATGACTATAGTCGACATCTGGGCTGTGTTTCAACATCTGGGCTGTATACAAAGTAACTTGAATTTGAAATATTTTCGAGAGTTTTGAAGTATGACTCTGGGAAATCGCTTTGGTCACGATGGTCCCTCCACCAGGCTTGGACATTTGCCCAGCATCACCCAGTTAGACTACAAAATAAAACACTAGCTCGCCCTTCCAGTTCCAAGGAGACTACGGTGGTTTTCGGATACCCATTTGTTTGGTGTTCAATGAAAGCAGGCTCAACTCTTCTGAGTTGTAATATGATAGCTCCGGCCTCAAGATTCCCGAGAACACATCGCAGTGTGACATGGTGTACGCACTAGGCAATCAGTATTGGGCAGTACCTTTGAGGAATTGTTTTTTACTGTTATTTTTGAAGTTTGAAACTGCACATATAAGTGAGGAACATAATCGCAGAGAAGTAACGCACACCTTCATAAATATCAGTTATAATTCAGGTTCTGTATTTTTTTTTATAAATAGAATAGAATCAGAAAAGCAATCGCCAGTAAAATATTTTTCAGCTCCAATCTCTCCGAAAAAACCCAAAATTTGAGGTCACGACAAAAAAAAAAAAAATGAAGGACCACTTAATTTTTTTTAGAACTGAGTCAGTGATGCTGTGCTGGGGTCCATTTCAGCTTCCCTTCATTCCTCAAAAAAGAGTATTTTCCTCTCCTTTAATCAATATTCATTCAGGGCCTCTGGGTCAAGTTGAATTTCATTGTCGAGACTTCCAGTTTAGACCATACTATATGTGCCACTTAGAGGAGGGAGTGTTTCAATAGTAGTGAAAACTAGAAACCCATAGATTTTAATGGAGTGGGATGGCAGCTCACGACTCTGTCGGGAACTTTAGTTATCTCAATATATCCACAGTTCTTGGGGAAACACCTCATTGCGATATTTGTCGTGTGATGGTTAGCATTCCCAATGGCAAGGGCGACAGTGCTAAATGCAGCAGCAGAAAATAATCGATGCAAGCACGTCGAATTTTGTGCAAAAAATAACCTCTTAAATAAAACCCTCCAAATTTTTGCTTGAAACTCCAAAAATACGGTATGCTGGTTACATAGAACATCAATAATGTGAGATTGTGAAGTATACTAATGTAGTGTTAAAACAAATAAGGCCCAGCGCTTTCGTAAATACTACTCTGCCAGTACCGTTATTTTCGCTAATTCATTGTTGATTTTCTTAATGTACCTGTTATTCTTGCACCACTATAAAACGCTGTCCCCATTAAATCTTCCGTTAGCCTAAAAAAACGAATTTAGGCTGACTGTGCGATTCACGTAACAATGTATACCAAATAAAAATGAATAAAAATATCAACTAGTGCATAAAACGGTTTTGGTTTTGACACTGCATATCACCGACCGGATGTCTGCACGGGGTACAGGTTGAAGACGACTGCTATTTCCGCTAAGTTCAAAGAGTCAGAACACGAGCCTGATCTGATGATTCACGCAGCACCCGAACCGCATTTCTGGTGTACGGCAATGGCTGAGATACATTGAGGAACCGAGCAATAAGATTGCAGCCAACTTATTGCTCATGTTGGTGTTGCTTTTCGCGTAGTTTTTGTTAGCGGACTACCGCCAACTACAGACATTTTTTTCTTACGAGTAGTTCACGGCAGCATCGTGAGTGGTCAACCGCATTAGCTTCGTTTGTCTCGACGTCCTTAGTTGTAAAAGGTTGATATTATTACTATTGTAATGCACAATTCAATTTATAGTGTTGTTTTATTTAATCATAAACTACAAATAGGCGATAGACGACGGTAAGAAAAGCCGCAAAACTGGAACTTGACGAAGCCACTATCCCGCTATAGCTACATCAGCCGACAAAAAAAAAAAAAAAATGCCCACTTAAAAAAAAAAAAAAATATATATATATATATATATATATAAAGGTTTTTTTTTTTTACGAGGAGAATATTTTGTGTATTGATTTTATATTTATCTCATTAATACGAACTTCTTTTTTTCAATACAGTACAGGTGGTATTGTGTGTTGATTTATCCGAAGCTTTTGGTTAGTTCCGACGACGCGGCACTTTTAAGGATCTGGTGTTGCGCTCCTAATATAATATATTTTTCGTTTAATTTACCAATTTTCGCTAATGAATAATTTTAAATTCTAAGCTATGTCGTGTACATTCTTGCAAGCTTAGAATAAAAGATTTTTTAATTTTTTTATGTTTTAATATTAGAATACGCGTAACACGACATATATACCTACATCCCACTGAGACCTTTTGATAAAGTATCCAAGCCCCAAGGAACGTGTTGCGAGGGTAGTTACACTCGCTGCACGTGCTGGCATCTTTTCAGTATAAGTAATTAACTGTTCAGAAGCACAAGGCTAAAGCATATTTTATCTTGCATGCGCGTTCGCCAACGGCTTGTTCTAGTTATTTCCTTGGAATCTTTTATACGGGGAAAATGAGCACGTGCAGAGCGTAGTCCTACATTTGCTACATTCTCCTTGATGCTTGAGTACTCATTTTGCACTAGGTATATATCTTTATTACATTCATTATAGCTTTATTATGAAATACATTAGTTATAACATGTTTATCTCTTAATTAAATTTATTAAGATTGCTACGCGTCGTGGTTCCCCAAACGAGGTGACAAAAAGAGAAACGAGAATTGAATAAAGCGTTATTAAATACAAGATATGCACTAGTTTGCAGACTATGACGATGCTTGTTTATAAAAACCTACGATATTCTCAGGTTTGAAAGTAATATTTTGAATATATGGGGTCCCATGGACATATGTTCGGAAAGGTGCACACCTAAAGATTTAAAGGTGGTTGCAAATTTGAAGACGGAGATGTTCAATATTAATTTTGTGTTGGCATTGTAAACGCTTTATTTTGGTCTGGACACAATTGCTTTTGTTTTACCACTTTCATTTATTATAAGAGAATTCAAGGCAGTTTACTTGTTAAACCTTCCTGAAAAAATGTTCGCATCAGAAACTAGCCTATCAATATTATTATCCGAAAAAAGAGTAGCATCATTAGCATAAATTACAAATAATGTATTACTTGCACTAATGACCATCTAATCAATAAACAGGTTAAAATGGAATTGTCGTAATTATGGCATTATAATCTATCACCTGGTGACTGATCGAGTTTGAAGCTGGAATATATATCTTGTAAAGCTAAATCAACGTTTTACTTTCAGAGTAAGCTCTCGGCGGCTGCCTCCAGAAGCACGCGATGGCGGATAGAATACTTCCGAGGCGCACGAAATTCTCTGAATAAAGCTGTGCAACATAAAACCGAGCTTTCAATGTTATTTATTTTCTCCCTGCGCCATTCTGTGCTCGCAATTCTTCAGATGCAGAGTTTGAAAATGGTTTGTTACTTTTGTTATATTTTAATTGATTCACTATCACCGAAAACGATACTTCTGTCATACATTTATCCGTAAGCGACGCCTATTGGCTGGTCGAATAAGTGAACCGAAAACGATAATAAATCGGTGGTCGATACTTTCGGAGTTATACGTATTAAATGGAATTAGTTCCGGTTTTTGGGGATCGCGGCTTCTCAAAAATAATCAGGTATAGAGCTTCCCCAAATCCATGCTTAAAAACCTGTTCTTTAATATTTTTACACCACATTTCTTGAAAATAAAGCTCGTCGTTATAGTTTCGCACCATGGAAGTAAATAGCAAGCTTAAGAAAACACTTTGGCTGAAAAGAAACAAGTGTAACGTACAAAGAAATACTTGTATAACACTCAGCATCCCCACGGAGTACGCTACTCTAGCGGAGAAGTAAAGTGCCCTGGAACGGTCGACTTATCTTGCACATCACACGTCGGCTATGATGTCTTTACCGATTTCGGTAAGAGTATAACCAGACTAGATAATTTACGCCATTCAGGGTGTAAAAACATTTACTGCAATTGTAATCCTCGTTCTTCGGACTAAGCGTGACAATTGAGTAAGTTTATTTACAGTACTATACCCTTTTCTATGTCACAACGAATTTTTGATGTATACCACACTCAAATTTGGAAGATTGTAAAAAGGTGTACGGCTGCTATAAAATATGTAGCTTTAGCGACTACATCAAGGTAATGTTTTTTCTAGGCTTTAGAGGAAATAGATGCTATACTTTATACGAAATATTGTGAGGACAACACAACACGCACTGCTCGACGAAAAAAGAAAGGTCCAACGGAGCGTGTGACCTCGTGAATATACGGTTATTTCTGTTACCTTAGTTATTCCTGGAGTAACTAAATGACAAAGCTCTATGGTTTTCCTAGGTATAGTAACTGTATACGGTAGCCATAAACGCTACAGTAACTATATATGCTACTAGAGCTGACCATATGCAGTTACTTCAGCGAAGCCACACGCACCGCCGGTCCATTTTGTTTCGACGAGCACTGTATTCGCAATATCCTTAATTGCACATGCTTCCGTTACCGAAAGAGTGTCTAAATGTCTCGTATAAAAGGTAGTGAACCAGTGTATTTATTTAATTACTTTGCTACCTATGTATTTCTTCATTTGCTTCTTTAAAATACTCTTAAAGGCCCTCCAAAGAAGGTGTCATGGTTTTGCGGCTCCATGACATGATGAGAAGAAAGAAGTGGACCGCAAAAGACAGAGCTGGGTTATATAGAGAAAAAGAAGCGATGAAGTTCAGCAAAACCTGAGGTTTTGTCAGAGCAGGAGCTCCGCAAGAAGGTCAATGGTTATGACCCAGGACTTGTCCGACTCTTGCCATGCTTAAGCTGCAACGGCAACTCTTTTTACTTCAATAGTCTAGGTTTCTAGGTGACTATGGTGAGCTGCAGCTTGTCGCGATTCGTCCTCGCAACGAACTCTCAGGGGACATTCCATGGGAGGGACCGAGGCGCACCTCTTTGTTTGTCCTTGAACTACATTGTGAAACATATTTATAGTTTTTCTCTGTATTTATTCCCCTGACAATGGCTTGTGATTTGTTTGTATTTGTACTTTGTATATAAAATTTATTAATTTCTGTGCCGCTTGGTTTCCTCTTCATTTCACTTGCGACCCGTCTATGGTAAACCGTGACAGGAGGGTGTTGCATAGGATGGGAAAACATAATATATATTAAATAACAAAAATGGAAGCATCACCACAAACCAAATTATGCAAAAAAAGACGATTGGCGTTATAAATAGCAGTTAGATTCACATGAGTATTCAAGAAAAAACTACATGTTATTATCGCTGTACGTTATTTCATGGAAGTTTGTTAAATCGTCGGCGACTATGTAGGCTGGCTGTTTATACCAATCTATAAATTTTGTAGTATGATTGTTTGTGAAGAGATGAGTGCCATGCGACGCGTTTAACTTGATAATTGCGATCCCGAACTAAGAATTAAATGTGAGGTGCCTGGAAAAAATCTCCGTGGAGCAATTCACGATGATGTAGTTTGTGAAACAGTTTTGGAATCGGAAATTTCTGAGGATATGATAAGTCTTGCAACTTGACACGATTTTGTAATTCTGTGAAACTGGAAAAGGGTGAATGATCTGAAGGAAAAGAAAATTAAATGAACAGCTCCCTTTAGCCTGGACTCAATATTATTTATGATGTAAAGCTGGTCACGATACCATGTAACAGAAGCATAATCTATTTTGTAAAATATTATTGTGATGCGGGTATTTTTTATGCGTTATCATCAAAACGCTTCTTTTGAAGAAATAAAACAGGCGCTGTTTTTTGTTTGTCAGTTGTCCAGTGCGACGCTCCCATTGGTCCTAAGTGCTGACATGTGCACGCGACAACCTCTCCCTCTCTTGCCGGCGCTGAGAAACTGATAGACACCGCCGGGTTTTTGTCAAAACGAGCCCTTTCGTTTTCGCCAAAGTCACGCACACAGCTGAAGCGGAGCCAAAAAGGAGCAGAATTTAACAAAATTGACATACGTGACCTGCGAGGTTTCACTTGGCTCTTTTACTGAGGTAGCCGTTATAGGCTCTTCCTCCACTGGAAATGGCGCCCGTTGTTAGTTAGTTTGTTGTTGTTTTGGGTGGTGGTGGTGGTTGGGGTTGATGGTGGTGTTGTTAGTGTTGTTGTTGTTTTTAAAGTTGGCGATGTAGGTGTTCGTCGTCTTTACGACCTACAACGCTATGGTCGCAATCAATTTTGAAGCTGGCGGTGTATGTGCAGCATAGGACGCTAAAAACACAAGTCGAAGAGACGCTCCAGGCACCATAGCCCCACTCTGTGCTTCCATGCTGCTTACATCTATCTTGTATCTCTGTGCGGTAATAGCATTTTAATCGGCAGTTCTTTTGGTTTCAGAAAGAAATTTCAAGATATAGTCACTATAGATTTCAAGTGTATTTATTCTGAGATTGGTTCTACCCTCTTTAATTTAAAATGGTAACAAACATGGCTGGCGGCGTCTGCAGAGTGCTGAACGAGCGAAGTTCGTTGAACTCTTTAATTTTATGAGCGAGAGTGGTTTTTATTTCTCGAAGCTGTTTAGAGAACAATCTCCTCAGCCGACGTAGTTTTCAACAAACAACTGCCGCAAGAACGAGCCTTCAGAAGCGATGTGCGAATGCTTGTTATCGTAGCGGGACTGGCCTAGGCCTACCATCCCAGATCAACCCCTTTGAGCGATCTGAGTTGATTTATTTCTTTGCGTGTGTTGATGCTGAATAAAGATGTTGGCTCCTGTAAAAGGGGCCCCGATGCTCTTTGAATTGTGCAATCGTTGTGATTGCGACCATGGCTCCAATACCGAGCAGGTACCTATACAGGTAAGAATTTGCGAGCCATTTGGTTGGATACAATCGGGCGTTCGGCTCCCATCAAGTTTGTCTAGGTATGTTCCCGTCATTGCGCCTCGAAATGCAAGATTTCAAGTTTTCTAGTGCACCATCGCCTACTAAAGCCAATACTTCTACGTCGCGTTTTGATTGTGAGTCATGATACTCACCCATCCTGCTCGCGGATACCATGAGTCAAAAATAACAAGAACAGTAAAGCGGGAAGGAGTGTATATTTATTTTGTTGATATTGTTCATTCCTTTCGGTCACTTATTACCGCACATCAACAGACGCTGACATACGCTTGTCTTGAACCGTGGCTCGTGGATGATGGAACGCTAGAACGCTGCTTTCATGGCCGCATCGTCTGGTACAAACGTTCTTAGACGGGGGCGAAATAGCAGAAACCGACGCGCAGGTTTCGTGTCCGTGTCTCACGGGCAGTGCATACAACGAAAGACGGCAGTGGAAAAGCAGACGATGCCGGCGGCTGTCGCGCGTCTGCTCGCGCGACATGCAGGTGGTGTTGGACTTCCAAACTAGACGCACTAGGTGTTGCGAAAGGGAGACACTACGCTTGTTTGCGTGTTCGCTCAAGCAACCAAGCCAGGCAAGTAGTAATGGGTTGGGCCACTGATTTGTAGGCGAGACTTAGAGCAAGCCATGATCTCCTCCTAAATCGCGTGCATCGGCATAATTATTGCCCAATATTTTGTCTTTTCTGCGGAAATTTTTTGTTGAAAAATATGCGTTTTTTATGTTTCTTTTAAAACAAAAACATTTGTTCCTTGCAATGTCTTTTTAAGGAGAACGACGCGTTGCTACAGTGATTTCAATCCAGTTAATCTCATTAAAAATATTTATATAAAATAATTTTCGTTTACATTTTGTCTAAAATATATCACGATTTTCAAGCCCTGCTTAGATAACTACATCACAAACTAAATCTTTGCTACCAAATTGTAAGGAAATATAATTTCTGATTGTTTATTTCTTCTCCTTCACAGAATCTCACTCTATGACTCAAAATTGTCATACCAAAACAATGTCTCAAACATTTTTCTAACGCCCCTGTATTAGGTATGAAAAAACTGTGAGTGCGCAGGCAAGCTGGTGGAAGTTGATCATGATGTAAAATCCCCGAGACTGTGGCAGAAACTGGGACACTTGGTAATTAAATATAATTTCGCTAGCAGCATGTGTGTGCTTGCTTTGGATGATACTGTCTGTAAGATCAACTGCATATTTTTTTTAAATGAGATGGACTTTATTATAGATTTTCTATGTGTTATTTTGTGAGTTACGCTCAATCTGGCTAGAGCACTTATATTTTTTTTAACGCACGTGTATCAAAACGTTTTCAAATATTTCATGATAATACGTACACTGGCATGCGCTTTACGTAAAGATCGTCTTGACCTATTCCTTTTATTTAAGGTTTTAATTGAAATATCGCTTGAAATGTTGCAATATATTAAACTCAAAACATAAAAAATCATCATTATTATTA